CTTAATCGAGGCAGATGCAGGTGTATTTGGGCTACACTTAACAACAGATGGACTGTGTGCTCGTTTATTAACTTTGCTTCTTTAAAAACAAGAAACTCAGTCACTTCCTTGAAATTTATAACCGGTTTGTCATTATAGAATATGTTTTTACTTATGTCTTAAGTAACATACTCGTAGATTATTACTAAAGATATATTAACTACATAAGTATGTGAGTAGATAGTGTCGCAGGTCATGTACACAACGTAGACCTCAGCAGTAGTAGATTTATAAATAAGTATGTTTGATTATGCACAGAGACGCAGTAGACTTGGCTTGTCCATATTAAAATAAATTAATTTTTAATGATGTAATCTTTATAATATTTTACCGATTCTCGGTCGATTGAAATGAAATCCGGTTCGGGCCTAATCAGTTAATAGATTTTTCTGTTACTAATTTCTCTGTTACGTTTGATTCAGTCTGATGAATGAATTCAAAATTCAATGAATGTAATTTTATATATAACTAGCGACCTGCCCCGATATCGCCTGGGCTTTAAGGCTTTAGCACCATAGACCACATACATAACCTTCGGCAAATTGTACACAAAACTAAAGAGTATAATCTGCTACTACGTCTTGCGTATGTGGACTATGAGAAAGTCTTCTCTTTGATTCCGTCGAAATTTGGGCGATGCTGCAGTCCCTTCAGCGGTGCCAAGTTAACTGTCGGTATATCGAAGTGATGAAGTGTTTGTACAGTAGGACTACGATGGCTATCCGAGTACAGAACCAGAGTACGATACCTATCCAACTGCAGAAATATGTAAGCCGGGGTGAGGTTATATCCCCGAAACTCTTTACCACTGCATTGGAAGACATTTTCAAGCTACTGAGCTGGAAAAATACGGTATTAACATCAATGGCGAGTACATCACTCACCTTCGATTTGCCGACGATATAGTCCTTAAGGCAGAAATGCTGAACGATCTAAGCACTATGCTCAATGACCTCAATAGTCATGTGTAACGTCCATGTCAAACCTGTGCCGGGAGTTGTTGGGAGCACTAAGCTGGAAGCTGCTGACGAGTATGTTTACCTGGGACAAATAATTCGACTAGGTAAGTTCAACCTCACCTGTTAGGTTCATCGACGGATTCAACTCGGCTGGGCAGCGTTCGGGAAATTACGACACATCTTCTCGTCATGTATACCTCAAAACTTGAAGACGAGATTGTACAACCAGTGCGTGTCGCCAGTGATGTCTTCTGGATCTGAGACGTGGTTCTTCACTGCTGGCAGTATGAGGAAGCTCAAGGTCGCTTAGCGAGCTATGGAGAGGGCTATGCTCGGGGTTTCCTAAATAAACTTAGAAATGAGGATATCCGCAGTAGAACCAGAGTGACCGAAATAGCCCAATGTATTAGTAAGCTGAAGTGGCAATGGGCCGGCCATATAGCTCGAAGAACCGACAACTGATGGGGAAAAAAGGTTCTCGAGTGGCAGCCTCGTACCGGTAGGCGAAGTGTAAGGCAACCCCCCACTTGACGGAGTGACGACCTGGTAACACATGCAGGAAGTCGATGGATGCAGGTGGCTCAGGACCGTGCTTTGTTGCATTCCTTGGGGGAGCCCTATGTTCACCAGTGGACTTGTGAAGGGCTGTAATGATGATGATGAAATAACGCCACATTAATAGTTGTTATTCAGGCGAATCCGGAGCAGTTCGTTAGTCTTTTTTTATAGGATAGGGTGACAAACGAGCACACAGTCCACCTGATGGTAAGTGGTTGTTGTGACCCATAGACATCTACATTTATCCTCATTTGCGAATCAAAATGCAGATGCGTTGTCATCCGTGAGGACTAACATGGAATGCCTCTTTTCCAGTAAAATAGGTCTCCGGTTCTCTACACTCACCATAAGAAATACAGTGTTAAGCTGCTGTTTTACGCTGGTATTCTGTGAGAGCGTGGTCCTTCCCCGGTCGAGCCGACCCATTCGTGCTACAACTATACTAATAATAAAGCTGCAGCATGGCTCTACTACGTAAACTACGTCTAATAATTATAAGTCTCTTATATTACGGTTCTTTTTTTACAAAACCCGTTAGTTTGCGCAAACTCGCGAGCAATAAAAAGTATGCAAACTCATTTATTGGGTGGTAGGTGTCCTGTTCTGTCTGAGAGTCGTTAGGGTTAGTATCACACTCTAACTATTTCTGTCGCCAAATTCCGACCAGAAGGGTGTAAAGAGTCAGTATAATTACACGTTGTGAGGCATTTCATCTTAGTTCTCTGTGGTGACAAGGCATCTTTAGTCTTCTTTGTTTGAAGTTGACCGCAGGTGTCCATGGGATGCAGTAGCCACTTACCATCAGGTGGATCAAGTTTGTTTTTCACTTCAGTTTAAAAAAATAAAGAAAATAAAGAAATATATTTTTGGGTTTGTGAGTGATTTACATCGTGACTCGTGTTCAACGAGTCCTAAATAAACAAAATCCTAAACACTACGGTGCAACAAGTAAACATATTATTATTTATCATTCGTATTCATAACCTTATATATTATATACTAACGATCTGCCCTGGTTTCGTCTGGGTAGGATCTTTAGATGTGGCGTTATTTAGATATTAGATAATCCACGAACATTTGTTTACTTAATCGTCCAAGTTATTCGGATAAAATATAGTCTAGATCACTTTTGGTATAGATCTGTTTGTGAAGATTCATTACAATCGGTTCAGCCATTCCGAGAATTAGCCTGGACAGACAGACAGACAGAGAGACAAACAGACAAAAATTTTAAAAATCAACGCCACCTGGTCTGTATTACGAGGGTGACACTGAAAGTTCTTAGAACATCAAAAACTGAACAAACTAGCAAGTTATTAGTTTTATTATATATTTTCAAAATAGTGTCCATTTACATCAATACATCGCTGTATTGTATTGATGTAACTGAGACCACTGAGAAAAGCCCTTTGCCCACTCGTCCTTAGGGGTCTCTTCGACGGCATTTTGAATCGCGACTTCTGCTTCCTCGGCGTCCATAAAACGTTTTGCTCGAAGTTTTTATTTCATTTTCGGAAATAAATAAAAATTGCAAGATGCGATATACGGGGTTATAGAGCGTGTGACCCAGTAATTCCACGTCTGACGTCGCCAAGTAGTCGATTGTTTGCTTGGCGGTGTGCGACGAGGCGTCATCGTGGTGAAGGAGAATCCTACTGCGAGGTCGTTTCTCCCGAATTTTTTCCAAGACAAGGAGCAAACAATTGTTAGTGTACCACTCTGCAGTAACTGTTTTTCGAAGTCCTTCCCAAGAACGAGGCCACCACCTTTTTACAGCAGACTGTCTCTTAGTTTCAGGATCATAACAATAAATCCAGCTTTCGTCACCCGTAAGTATGTCGAACACAGCATTTGAGTCACCTCCGTTAAATCTTTGAACCATTTCACGACACCAATCAACACGACGGAGTTTTTGGGCCTCTGTTAAATTATGAGGTATCCACCGGGCACAAAGCTTCCTGACCGCTAAATGTTCATGGAGGACATTGTGTACTTGACTCATACCGATGCCTAAGCTTGTCCGAATCTGCTGATAAGTCACTCTTTTGTCAGTCTCTATCGTATGAGACGCACAACACTGATGTTATCTTCAGTCGTCGCCATAGAAGGCCGTCCCTCACACAGATCATCGGTGAGATTAGTGCGACTACGTTTAAACTCATTAAACTAGTTGCAAACAGTGGCACGAGATGGGCTCCATCGTGAAAGGCTAATCGAAGTCTATCATAACTTTCTTGTTGACTTATGTCATTTAAGTCATAAATAATAATTGTACGAAAATTTTCTCGCGTTAAATTCGTCCTGACGTAACACAAGCAATTTTCAATTTGCCGTTAAATCGTAAACAAATAAATTAATAAAATACATACACAATAATATTGGCAAACAGTTCCATTTTCAAAATTTGAACTTATTTTTTTATTATATCGTTTACAAGTGACCAGTTCTAAAATCTTTCAGTGTCGCTCTCGTATAATAGGTATATAACATGAAACATAAACCCTATGGTTTATCGTTAAGTGCGATATCAGAATCATTATTACAATGTATTACTTCCGAAAACTCGACCATAAAAATACAAATTAAATTTAAATACATTTTATTTGCAAATCGTATATGGGTTTATTACCTCTGCATTGGCTGGAGAGTAAGAGTAGTGTCAAATGTCAACGACCCCGTTTTAGCGTTGCGCGTATCAGTTAATTCAGATGTGAATAACATTTGTATACACGATTGAATATAGTAGGTTGACTATTGTAAACACAAAAATCCCATTAATAACGATCAAAAAATTCACTATCATAAATGCCATATACATATACATATGTTTTATTTACATACATTTTTTTATAGGATAAGGGTGACAAACGAGTACACAGCCTACCTGATGGTAAGTGGTTGCCAGGGCTCGGAAACCGGTTCAAATTCTTAACCAGTTTCGGTCATTAACCACAAAACCGGTTTTTGCGGAATACCGGTTTACACAAATTTAGGTTTAGGCACTAAGAATTAACCGGTTAAAACGAAGTTTTGTAATGTCCCCCCACTCCCTTACCCCGCTTGCTTTTAACTTTGTATGGCTGTCCTCTGTTTAATTCACGAGGTTTTTAGACACACGTACGATATATTTATTGCATCAACACGACTGCCTTGTCACGTACTCTTACTTGTAATACTTGTAACTACTAACGTACATGTGTGCGTGCGTAGTAGAACCCTAGGCGTTACGTATTTATTAATGTCTAGCAGTTAAAATAATGCATTTTCTGGCATACTAACTTTAAAAGGCAAAAAGAACAGAGTAATTTAAAATGTGGTGGAGCAACTCTGCAGCTATATTATGGTTATAGCACAAATAAGTCAGTTCAACCGGGGATGGGCCACGCTCTCACAAAATAGCAGTTTAAAGCTGCTGTGTCACGTATGGTGAGTGTAGAGAACTGGAGACCGTTTTTATTGGAAACAAGGCGTTTCATCTTAATCCTCAGGGGTGATAACACATCTGCATTCTGATCTTTAATAGAGGATAGACCTATCATATATTAATCGAAATAGGTGGACTGCGTGCTCGATTGTCACCCTTAATCTATGAAATGAAAATTGTGATTTTCATATTTTTCTTCACCTTTCACCTTCTATACTATTGTAAACCTATTATGCATATTTTAGAATATGTTGCAAAATAACCCTGTGTAATTATGTTACAGATCAAGCAATTTATTAACAATATTTGGAAAGGAAATTATAATATAGTTCTTATTAAAATATGCCGTCCCTCGGAATTACTGTTTTCCTTCTGCTCACTCTCGGCGGAGTAATTACTCAAAAAGGTGAGTTCCACTTATTACTTTTTATTGTATGTAACCATCTAATATAATACCACCCACTGGCAGTACGAGCGCACTAAAGATGCACTAAAGAGGTACTGAATGTGCGAATGCACAGAAATAGTGTACTGAAGTTGTGAGTGTACGGACGAGAGCACCGGCAGCGTACAGGCACCAGTGCACTATCAATGTGTGTGTACTGAAGTTGTGAGTGTACGGACGTGGGCACAGGCAGTGTACAGGCACCAGTGCGCTGTCAGTGTGAGTGTACTGAAGTTGTGAGTGTACGGACGTGGGCACAGGCAGTGTACTGGCACCAGTGCGCTGTCAGTGTGAGTGTACTGAAGTTGTGAGTGTATAGACGAGAATATCGGCAGTGTACAGGCACCAGTGCGCTATCAATGTGTGTGTACTGAAGTTGCGAGTGTACGGACGAGAGCACCGGCAGCGTACAGGCACCAGTGCGCTAGCAATGTGTGCATACTGAAGTTGTGAGTGTACGGACGAGAGCACCGGCAGTGTACAGGCACCAGTGCGCTATCAGTGTGTGTGTACTGAAGTTGTGAGTGTACGGATGTGTGCACCGGCAGTGTACTGGCACCAGCGCGCTATCAGTGTGAGTGTACTGAAGTTGTGAGTGTACTGAAGTTGTGAGTGTATGGACGAGAATACCGGCAGTGTACAGGCACCAGTGCGCTATCAATGTGTGTGTACTGAAGTTGCGAGTGTACGGACGAGAGCACCGGCAGCGTACAGGCACCAGTGCGCTATCAATGTGTGCATACTGAAGTTGTGAGTGTACGGACGAGAGCACCGGCAGTGTACAGGCACCAGTGCGCTATCAGTGTGAGTGTACTAAAGTTGTGAGTGTACTGAAGTTGTGAGTGTATGGACGAGAATACCGGCAGTGTACAGGCACCAGTGCGCTATGAATGTGTGTGTACTGAAGTTGCGAGTGTACGGACGAGAGCACCGGCAGCGTACAGGCACCAGTGCGCTATCAATGTGTGCATACTGAATTTGTGAGTGTACGGACGAGAGCACCGGCAGTGTACTGGCACCAGTGCGCTATCAGTGTGAGTGTACTGAAGTTGTGAGTGTACGGACGAGAGCACCGGCAGTGTACAGGCACCAGTGCGCTATCAGTGTGTGTGTACTGAAGTTGTGAGTGTACGGATGTGTGCACCGGCAGTGTACTGGCACCAGTGCGCTATCAGTGTGAGTGTACTGAAGTTGTGAGTGTACTGAAGTTGTGAGTGTATGGACGAGAATACCGGCAGTGTACAGGCACCAGTGCGCTATCAATGTGTGTGTACTGAAGTTGCGAGTGTACGGACGAGAGCACCGGCAGTGTACTGGCACCAGTGCGCTATCAGTGTGAGTGTACTGAAGTTGTGAGTGTACGGATGTGTGCACCGGCAGTGTACTGGCACCAGTGCGCTATCAGTGTGAGTGTACTGAAGTTGTGAGTGTATAGACGAGAATATCGGCAGTGTACAGGCACCAGTGCGCTATCAATGTGTGTGTACTGAAGTTGCGAGTGTACGGACGAGAGCACCGGCAGCGTACAGGCACCAGTGCGCTAGCAATGTGTGCATACTGAAGTTGTGAGTGTACGGACGAGAGCACCGGCAGTGTACAGGCACCAGTGCGCTATCAGTGTGTGTGTACTGAAGTTGTGAGTGTACGGATGTGTGCACCGGCAGTGTACTGGCACCAGCGCGCTATCAGTGTGAGTGTACTGAAGTTGTGAGTGTACTGAAGTTGTGAGTGTATGGACGAGAATACCGGCAGTGTACAGGCACCAGTGCGCTATCAATGTGTGTGTACTGAAGTTGCGAGTGTACGGACGAGAGCACCGGCAGCGTACAGGCACCAGTGCGCTATCAATGTGTGCATACTGAAGTTGTGAGTGTACGGACGAGAGCACCGGCAGTGTACAGGCACCAGTGCGCTATCAGTGTGAGTGTACTAAAGTTGTGAGTGTACTGAAGTTGTGAGTGTATGGACGAGAATACCGGCAGTGTACAGGCACCAGTGCGCTATGAATGTGTGTGTACTGAAGTTGCGAGTGTACGGACGAGAGCACCGGCAGCGTACAGGCACCAGTGCGCTATCAATGTGTGCATACTGAATTTGTGAGTGTACGGACGAGAGCACCGGCAGTGTACTGGCACCAGTGCGCTATCAGTGTGAGTGTACTGAAGTTGTGAGTGTACGGACGAGAGCACCGGCAGTGTACAGGCACCAGTGCGCTATCAGTGTGTGTGTACTGAAGTTGTGAGTGTACGGATGTGTGCACCGGCAGTGTACTGGCACCAGTGCGCTATCAGTGTGAGTGTACTGAAGTTGTGAGTGTACTGAAGTTGTGAGTGTATGGACGAGAATACCGGCAGTGTACAGGCACCAGTGCGCTATCAATGTGTGTGTACTGAAGTTGCGAGTGTACGGACGAGAGCACCGGCAGTGTACTGGCACCAGTGCGCTATCAGTGTGAGTGTACTGAAGTTGTGAGTGTACGGACGAGAGCACCGGCAGTGTACAGGCACCAGTGCGCTGTCAGTGTGAGTGTACTGAAGTTGTGAGTGTACTGAAGTTGTGAGTGTATGGACGAGAATACCGGCAGTGTACAGGCACCAGTGCGCTATCAATGTGTGTGTACTGAAGTTGCGAGTGTACGGACGAGAGCACCGGCAGCGTACAGGCACCAGTGCGCTATCAATGTGTGCATACTGAAGTTGTGAGTATACGGACGAGAGCACCGGCAGTGTACTGGCACCAGTGCACTATCAATGTGTGTGTACTGAAGTTGTGAGTGTACGGATGTGTGCACCGGCAGTGTACTGGCACCAGTGCGCTATCAGTGTGAGTGTACTGGAGTTGTGAGTGTACGGACGAGAGCACCGGCAATGTACAGGCACCAGTGCGCTGTCAGTGTGTGTGTACTGAAGTTGTGAGTGTACGGATGTGTGCACCGGCAGTGTAAAGGCACCAGTGCGCTATCAATGTGTGTGTACTGAAGTTGCGAGTGTACGGACGAGAGCACCGGCAGTGTACTGGCACCAGTGCGCTATCAGTGTGAGTGTACTGGAGTTGTGAGTGTACGGACGAGAGCACCGGCAGTGTACAGGCACCAGTGCGCTGTCAGTGTGAGTGTACTGAAGTTGTGAGTGTACTGAAGTTGTGAGTGTATGGACGAGAATACCAGCAGTGTACAGGCACCAGTGCGCTATCAATGTGTGTGTACTGAAGTTGTGAGTATACGGACGAGAGCACCGGCAGCGTACAGGCACCAGTGCGCTATCAATGTGTGCGTACTGAAGTTGTGAGTGTACGGACGAGAGCACCGGCAGTGTACTGGCACCAGTGCGCTATCAGTGTAAGTGTACTGAAGTTGTGAGTGTACGGACGAGAGCACCGGCAGTGTACAGGCACCAGTGCGCTATCAGTGTGAGTGTACTGAAGTTGTGAGTGTACGGACGAGAGCACCGGTAGTGTACAGGCACCAGTGCGCTATCAGTGTGAGTGTACTGAATTTGTGAGTGTACGGACGAGAGCACCGGCAGTGTACAGGCACCAGTGCGCTATCAGTGTGAGTGTACTGAAGTTGTGAGTGTACGGATGAGAGCACCGGTAGTGTACAGGCACCAGTGCGCTGTCAGTGTGAGTGTACTGAAGTTGTGAGTGTACGGACGAGAGCACCGGCAGTGTACAGGCACCAGTGCGCTATCAGTGTGAGTGTACTGAAGTTGTGAGTGTACGGACGAGAGCACCGGTAGTGTACAGGCACCAGTGCGCTATCAGTGTGAGTGTACTGAAGTTGTGAGTGTACGGACGAGAGCACCGGTAGTGTACAGGCACCAGTGCGCTATCAGTGTGAGTGTACTGAAGTTGTGAGTGTACGGACGAGAGCACCGGTAGTGTACAGGCACCAGTGCGCTGTCAGTGTGAGTGTACTGAAGTTGTGAGTGTACGGACGAGAGCACCGGCAGTGTACAGGCACCAGTGCACTATCAATGTGTGTACTGAAATTGTGAGTGTACGGACGAGAGCTCCGGCAGTGTACAGGCACCAGTGCGCTGTCAGTGTGAGTGTACTGAAGTTGTGAGTGTACGGACGAGAGCACCGGCAGTGTACAGGCACCAGTGCACTATCAATGTGTGTACTGAAATTGTGAGTGTACGGACGAGAGCACCGGCAGTGTACAGGCACCAGTGCACTATCAATGTGTGTACTGAAATTGTGAGTGTACGGACGAGAGCACCGGCAGTGTACAGGCACCAGTGCACTATCAATGTGTGTACTGAAATTGTGAGTGTACGGACGAGAGCACCGGCAGTGTACAGGCACCAGTGCACTATCAATGTGTGTGTACTGAAGTTGTGAGTGTACGGACGAGAGCACCGGCAGTGTACAGGCACCAGTGCACTATCAATGTGTGTACTGAAATTGTGAGTGTACGGACGAGAGCACCGGCAGTGTACAGGCACCAGTGCACTATCAATGTGTGTGTACTGAAGTTGTGAGTGTACGGACGAGAGCACCGGCAGTGTACAGGCACCAGTGCGCTATCAATGTGTGTGTACTGAAGTTGTGAGTGTACGGACGAGAGCACCGGCAGTGTACAGGCACCAGTGCGCTATCAACTTGTGTGTACTGAAGTTGTGAGTGTACGGACCAGAGCACCGGCAGTGTACAGGCACCAGTGCGCTGTCAGTGTGAGTGTACTGAAGTTGTGAGTGTACGAACGAGAGCACCAACAGTGTGTACTATCAGTAGTGTGAGTGTACTAAACATGTGCTGAAAGTGCAACAAAATGATTTCACTTTAGTTATTAAGTTTGAAACAGATTGCGAACTCAAAGTTTATCAACAGGTTATCAATTTATTTAGACTAGGTTAAGTTTTATCAAGCGTTAAGTCGTTTCATTCTTCTATTTTATTATGCCCTAAATAATATAGAGTGTCTATGCATGGTTCATTAGGTGGTGGGACTTCTTTTCTGCGAAAGAATCCGTCTTGGTAGGTACCACAATTAACAAAAAATATTTGTGTTTTCAAGCAGCAGTATGTGCACTGTTGTAATCCGTCCGGTAGAGTAAATGGAGCCAGTATATAATAACACGCTGTATGGTATTCCTTCTTATACCTTCGAGGTGACAACGCATTTGTAACCTTTTTTTAAGTTGGTTGTAGGTGTTCAGTTTACATCGAACACATTATGTATGCGTAGGCATTTTACTTTAAAGTTTTTATTTGAGCCAGTACTTGTACGGATGCCAACAAGGTCTCTTGTTGAATAAAAATACTTTTACGGATTCTATCGCGTTTAATTAACTTGTTTTTTATTGATTCTCGATGTTTTGGGTACTTTACAGCACCCATGGTCACGGGGGCTGAGGTACTCCGGGTTAACTCTGACATCGGGACGTAAATCACCTCAGTCCCCCGTGACCATGGGTGCTGTAAAGTACCCGAAACGTCGGGAATCAATAAAAACAAGTTAATTAAACGCGATAGAATCCGTAAAAGTAGTTTTATTCAATGTGTAGTGTTCGCGTAAATATAAGAAATCATTAAGGTCTCGTTTGCTAACATACCTAACATTTGTAAACATTATAACAATAAACATTTTGTGCATAAACAGTGTTTTAAGTAACATATACATCAAAATGTGTCCACAGGTCCACAGACGGCAGTAGCTAATTATCACCGTGTTGACAGTGAGTTGTTTCTCACTTCAGTTGTGTATACAAAAAAAACAATCCGCATATTTTTCATCGTATTCAATCAGACATAAAACAGATATTAGTAGTTTTAATACCCCTGGAATGGGACTACTGTATAGGAATCATCATCACCATTGTTTCAGTCCATCACAAGCCCACTGTTGTACATTCCAACAAATAATGCCACAAAACACGTTCCTTAGTCACCTGCATCCAGCGGCTTTCTACGCCGTCACTTGATCTAGAAGTGAGTGGTCGCCCTACAGCCCTACACAAACAAAGATCATGTGTCGATGGACTTCGTAATGAGGAAATGTGCAGGAGAGCTAAAATAACTGACATTGCCCAACGGATCAATAACCTGAAATGGCAATGTGTCGGCCATATAGCTCGAAGAAAGGGCAAGTTGCAATAAATAAAATTTCCAACTTAGTGGTTTATGGAATGCCATAAAAGATTGTATAAAAAGGGTCATTATAATATTAAGGAATTTATGGATGATAATAACTCTGGGAATGAAAAAATCTCTACCAAGCTATTTGTAATATTATTTGTATCAAGAGTTCGTTAATATGTATAATTGATTGTACAACGTAAATGTTAGGGTGACCTTCTGACTATCGAAGGATGGAACTCCTTTCCGTGGAACAAAGCGTGTGCACGCCACTACAAATGCCTCGACCGATAGATCCGTCACCACTTCCAGGTTAACTGCTTTAGTAGCTAAACAAGCGAAGACGCATGAATAGCATTTTTAGATTTACGCATGTTGCTTGTATTAATGTGGAATGGGCCAGCAAAGTCGGTACCGACACCGAGGAAAAGTCTAGCACACCTGATTCGATCGGGTGGTAAGTACGCCATAAAAGGTTGCGTAGCGCGAGCCCGCGATCGAAAATATTTTATGCACCGAAATGTGACTTGTCGGGTCACTCGACGAGCAGAAACAATTCAATAGTTTCGAGAAAGTATGGCCGAGAGTGTTTGCACCGACGTGACAATATACCTCGTGATAATGGGTGACTAGCAACTCCGTACACCTATCTACAATTGCTGGGTAATAAGATTGGATGCCGTTGCGTTATAAGGTAGCTCCGAAGCTCCTATTCGACTACCGACCCGAAGAACGTTATCTTTACCAATAAGAAGTTTAATCGCCGTGAAGAATTTTTAATCGCTTTTCCTGACTTTAAAGACGCTAATTCATATGCGAAACATTGTTCCTGTACTAATTTAATTAAACGTAAAGTCCAATTTCTCCGTTCCGTAAACTTGCGACTGCCTATAATTCGCTTTGTACTATCTCGACAATTATGACAAAACCGTAATAAATATGCTGTAATATTTATTAATTGATTAAAGGAACTATAAAGCTCTAACAGCTCTAATACGTTATTAGTCGGTACTCCGGTATACCGATATTGATTACCTCGCTCTTTATTCGCCGTAAAAGTTCAACAGGAAAATCAAAAACTTTATTGGGCCACTGATCTCGAGGCTGAGACAACCACTGTGGTCCCCGCCACAATTGGTGTGCTAATAAATCTGAAGTGTTCACGGCGCGTGACGCAACATCAGTACAATTCAACTGGCTGGGAACGTATCTTTGTTTCACAAATAAACGCATCAAGAATTTTAATTTTTGATGCGTTTTTTTTTGACATCCGGTTACCTTCAAAAACTTGTAAGGTGAGCGTAGGTCTCCACAACCAAGCCAGCACTATTGTACTGTCACACCAGGCGACTACCTCATCGAACTGAATGTTGCTCTCCAAGGATATAGCAACATGATTTAAAAGAGTTCTTTGTAACACCGCACCGTCTAACTCAAGTTTAGGTATCGTCCGCTTAGTTCTCAAAGGGACTACCCTAGACTTAGCCATAAGTAGTCGCATGAGAGTGGTACTGTTCGCTTGCTCCACCCGCAAGTATACCGTAGCCGCACTACCTACATACAATCCATCGCAAAATCCGTGAAGGGAATAACAAACAGCTACGTACGGTTTTAAACAACGACGGATGGAATTTTTTGTTAAATTATTTAGATCTCAAGTAATAACTTGCCATTGCCGATTACGCGTGCATCCCAATCAACTTTATTAGACTTACTTGAAGAAACGATAATTTGCCGCAGGAATAGGTTAATTTTGAAAATAACCGGACATATCCAACCGAGGGGATCGTATAAGCTCGCACATACAGACGAAATGCTCCGCCGAGTAACTACTTTCGCCGATGATAAATTTAATTTATAAGTGAAACTATGCGTGACGTGATCCCGTTGAATTCCTAAAACCTTTATAAAAACCTGTTTGGATTCATCAAATGTTCGAACTCCATATGGTCCGAAGGTAAATCATTCAACGACTCGGGAACATTAGATGACCATTTACGTAACTCGTAACCAGCAGTACTCATGAGATTAATAAGCTCCGTTTTAAGATGCGCACCTCTTCAATAGTGTCAGCGCCCCCGTTAAAGTCATCGACGTAACTACTAGCCCTTAAAAGGTCTTCATGGCTGTAGCAGACAACGAATCGCGCCGAAGGGACTGGACTTCAGGCCGTACATATTTGTCATAAATTCATACACTTGCACTGGATCCGCAGGAGATTCGCCCCATAAAATTAATTGATACTTTTGATCCGCGGCGTGTATCCATGTTTGACGAAACATAATTTTTTTTTTATAGAAATAGTGTGACAAACGAGCACACAGTCCACCTGATGGTAAATGGTTGACGTTGTCCATAGACATCTACATCTATCCTCGTTTGCGAGTGAAAATGCAGATGCGTTGGCTGCCTTGTAAGGACTAAGATGGAATGCCTGTTTTCCAGTAAAATGGGTCTCCGGTTCTCTACACTCACCATACGAAACACATCAGTATTAAGTTGCTGTTTTGCCACAATAAAGCTGCAACAAGGCTCTATCACGTATAAAACCAACCAGTGGTAAAAAAAAAACATAAGAATAACTTTTGATAAGTATTATTTATAATCTCTCTATATAAATAAGAATGTAAATATAAGTTTGTTCAAAATCTTAGTTTAACCCTTTCACTGTCCCGTGCACTACATATAGGTCATTGCTATTGTCTTACTATTGTGTCTCAAAACCAGACAGTGAAAGTGTTAATTATTGGACGCAAACATGTGAACCCTAAAACCACGTTGTTGGTTGCAAATAATTTTACATGTATAATTTACGTGTTCTAATAAGTAGAGCATCGTTTTGTCTTAGTTTTTGCGTCACTTGGAATATAAACAGAGCTCCATTTCTCTTTTTTTGTTAATCTCAGGTAACAAAGAACTGTTTCCATTTACAGATGGCGTCAAGTGTTTTGATGAGAGGAGCAACTTCGTAGGACGCTGTAAGCTTCTACGTGACTGTCCATCAGCTGAGAGCCATTTCTCGTAAGTTCCCACTCATGGTTTAGTAGTGTGAGAGAATGGAGCATCAAATCATGGTCCTGGGCCTGAAATTCTGGAAGGGTATCTTGTAAAACAAATATTGTATACATTGAAGACCCGTTGTAGCTGAGGAATTAAGTGTTCACTAAGGTTCTCAGTACGCGAGCAACCAGGGTTTGATTAATACCTGCATCAATGAAATTGTTATTAGCAGTTTTAAGTGCTGATTTACTGTACTTGTCAATAAAGAAAACATAGTAAGGAAATGAATGAAACTAATTTTAGGGAATTTTCGCGTTTAACTGATTTTTCTTTATTTTCATTCAAGACGTTTCGAATGCTTTACAGCACAATGGTACAGTAAAAAATTACTTTCAATAAGAATTACACATGTGATCTATATTGAATAAAAAAATATTCTATTCTATACTATTGTCACGACCGGGCAAGCACCACAGAGCGTGGTGCTTGCCCGGTCGTGCCCAGGTATGGTGAGTGACTAGAACGGGAAACTCAGCGTGATATTACAGCAAAATACTCTTTTTACTGTTTTTTTTTTAATATAAAATAAGGGAAACGAACGAGCACTCTGTTCACCTGATGGTAAGTGGATAGTGTAACTCATAGACATCTACATCTATCTCAGATTAATAATCTAGAGAGCGACTAAAATAGAATGCCTCGTATCCAGTAAAAATAGTATTCGGTCTATACACTCACCATATGAAACACGGTAGCATTAAGCTGCTATTTCACGCTGGTATTCTGTGAGAGCGTGATCCTTCCCCAGTCGAGCCAACCCATTCGTGTTGCAACCATAATATAATAAAGCAGTAGCGGGACTCTACCACGTATAAAAAATATGCATTTTGATTCTTAGTCAAGATAGATGTAGGCGTATATGGGCCGTATGATATCAGGTGGACAGAGCGCCTGATGGTCACACTTAACTTATAAGACACTAACCTACCTAAAACCTAAATAATATCTAGCAATTCTAAGTCACGGGTAGGTTACGAAGTTAAACGAATTTATTTTAGCAGAACCTTAGCTTTTTTATTATACATATAATTCCCGCGTTTTTTAAAACTTCTGATATATGGAAGTTAGCACTGAACACGAAATCATATTTTTAAATTTTCTTTTTTTCAGGTCCACAGGAATATATCCAGTGTTTTGTGAATATTCTGTTAGAAAAATTCTTGTGTGTTGTAGAGAAACAGGGACATGGTCACCTCCCTCACACGAGCCTGTTGAGGAGTAAGTTCTGACATCTTAAACTTTGTATTATCTACCGACTTCAAAAAGGAGACGGTACTCAATTCGACTATGTTTTTTGTGTGTTACCTCATAAATTTTTTCTGGGTAACTGATTTCGATGATTCTTTTTTTTATTTGAAACCTGGTGCTTCTCATGTGGTTTCATATAAAATTGATCAAGGTCTGACCAATAGTTTTTGAGTTATTCTTAATAATTTATATAGAAGTCGGTTATACAAAATTTTTAATTTTAAATTATGTATGTATACTTGGGGAGTGCTTTTAGCCGGGATGGAAGATGTGATTTAGATGTGGACAGGCGTGTCGCTGCCGGGAACAAAGTCAATGGTGCCCTGACTGCGTTAGTCAAAAGGCAAGGCGTAGTGAAGAGTGCACGCCTTGCAATACATAACGCAGTGTTGGTACCGACTTTGTTATATGGCAGCGAAACCTGGGTATGCCAGAAGAAGCATAAAAGTAAGTTGAATGCAGTGGAGATGCGATCTCTTCGTAAAATGTGCGGCGTTACTATGGCCGACCGAAAGCGAAACGAAGAGATTCGCAATATGGCAGGTTTAAAAGATGACCTTATCACAAAAATTGATAAGGGCGTGCTTCGGTGGTTTGGGCACGTTGAGCGAATGAGTGAAGACCGAATGCTGAAGAAAATATATAGCGCGAAAGTTAATATTAAAAGGTGTCGAGGTAGACCGAGACTAACTTTCGAAGACCATGTGAGCAAATTGAGAGGGTAGGGTCAAGAGTACTCGGATACCTAGACGTGCATGTATGAAGAAGATAATGAATCTGAAAGAAGCGAAAGAGGTATGTAAGAATCGTGACACTTGGCGATCTGTTCTCTCTGGCTACCCCGTCAGGGATTGTGCGTGAAGATAAATAAATTATGCATCTTATACATAACTTCTTATATAAAATTAATAATTGCATCCGTAGCGTAGGGGGTAAATGTTCGAGATGCGGGGAGAGGGTTTGATTCGGTCGACAGATAACTTTTCAGGGTCTGGTTGTTTGTTCATATGCGATTTATGTATTACAAACATACCTAATAGAAAAACTCCAAGTGCGGGCTTCTTGAACAATTTAAAAATATCTGAAAATTGAATGTTTTTATTAAAATAAAATGTGAACTTTCGCAGAGACAGACCTACGTGGGGCTTTGTAAATCATAACCACGTCAGGAAACGCGTCAGCGAGCGTAGTAAGTAAAATTTCAGTTATAAAATAAATCAATATTTATTTTTATTGCACATCTTTATTGATAAAATCAAATCAAATTTGAGTTTTGTTTTTACTCTTTGATAATGAAGGAGTTAAATTTTATAATAAATTACCTAAGGACATAGAAGGTGTTACATAAATCTGATAATGATTATAAAAATAAGCTTAAACTATATTTACTAGGAAATATGTTTTTTTTTTTAATTTACAAACAAATAATCTATTTAAGGGTTAATGGATCAAAATGTAACATCAATTGTAAATAGGCATGCGCACTACACAACCGAGATGTACTTAATAGATTAAAGTTGAGTTAAACCTAACCTTTACCGTTACCGTTCAGCCTATTAAACGTCAACGGCTGAGCACAGAACATAGAACCTCTCTCATTGATTATCTCATAGTGGAGATATTTGCCTTGATTGCCACGTTTGGCATGCGTTTTGGCAACTGCAGTTTTATTTTTATTCAGCTGTTATCACAAAAGCGCTGCTGATAATCTCCTGGTTCAGTTGCCCTCTGTCTACTCTCAAGCCACCGACGGGATGAAATGTGGTAGTGGATATTCTTACACCACCACAACACGATTAGGATGCAAACAGACAGTGGATATTCTTAGTCTGTCACTACACGGTTAGGATGAAACAAGGTAGTGGATATTCTTTCACCGTCACTACACGGTTAGGATGAAATAGTGTAGTGGATATTCTTACACCGTCACTGCACGGTTAGGATGAAACAAGGTAGTGGATATTCTTACACCGTCACTGCACGGTTAGGATGAAACAAGGTAGTGGATATTCTTACACCGTCACTGCACGGTTAGGATGAAACAAGGTAGTGGATATTCTTACACCATCACTACACGGTTAGGATGAAACAAGGTAGTGGATATTCTTACACCATCACTACACGGTTAGGATGAAACAAGGTAGTGGATATTCTTACACCGTCACTACACGGTTAGGATGAAACAAGGTAGTGGATATTCTTACACCGTCACTGCACGGTTAGGATGAAACAAGGTAGTGGATATTCTTACACCGTCTCTGCACGGTTAGGATGAAACAAGGTAGTGGATATTCTTACACCGTCACTGCACGGTTAGGATGAAACAAGGTAGTGGATATTCTTACACCGTCACTGCACGGTTAGGATGAAACAAGGTAGTGGATATTCTTACACCGTCACTGCACGGTTAGGATGAAACAAGGTAGTGGATATTCTTACACCGTCACTGCACGGTTAGGATGAAACAAGGTAGTGGATATTCTTTCACCGTCACTACACGGTTAGGATGAAATAGGGTAGTGGATATTCTTACACCGTCACTGCACGGTTAGGATGAAACAAGGTAGTGGATATTCTTACACCGTCACTGCACGGTTAGGATGAAACAAGGTAGTGGATATTCTTACACCGTCACTGCACGGTTAGGATGAAACAAGGTAGTGGATATTCTTACACCGTCACTGCACGGTTAGGATGAAACAAGGTGGTGGATATTCTTACACCGTCACTGCACGGTTAGGATGAAACAAGGTAGTGGATATTCTTACACCGTCACTGCACGGTTAGGATGAAACAAGGTAGTGGATATTCTTACACCATCACTACACGGTTAGGATGAAACAAGGTAGTGGATATTCTTACACCATCACTACACGGTTAGGATGAAACAAGGTAGTGGATATTCTTTCACCGTCACTACACGGTTAGGATGAAATAGGGTAGTGGATATTCTTTCACCGTCACTACACGGTTAGGATGAAATAGGGTAGTGGATATTCTTACACCGTCACTGCACGGTTAGGATGAAACAAGGTAGTGGATATTCTTACACCGTCACTGCACGGTTAGGATGAAATAAGGTAGCGGATATTCTTACACCGTCACTGCACGGTTAGGATGAAATAAGGTAGTGGATATTCTTACACCGTCACTGCACGGTTAGGATGAAACAAGGTAGTGGATATTCTTACACCATCACTACACGGTTAGGATGAAACAAGGTAGTGGATATTCTTTCACCGTCACTACACGGTTAGGATGAAATAGGGTAGTGGATAATCTTACACCGTCACTGCACGGTTAGGATGAAACAAGGTAGTGGATATTCTTACACCGTCACTGCACGGTTAGGATGAAACAAGGTAGTGGATATTCTTACACCGTCACTGCACGGTTAGGATGAAACAAGGTAGTGGATATTCTTACACTGTCACTGCACGGTTAGGATGAAATAGGGTAGTGGATATTCTTAGCTCGTCACTACACGGTTAGGATGAAAAAGGTAGTGGATATTCTTACACCGTCACTACACGGTTAAGATGAAACAAGGTAGTGGATTTTCTTACACCGTCACTCCCCGGTTAGAATGAAACAAGGTAGTGGATATTCTTACACCGTCACTACACGGTTAGGATGAAATAGGGTAGTGGATATTCTTACACCGTCACTACACGGTTAGGATGAAACAAGGTAGTGGATATTCTTACAACGTCACTACACGGTTAGGATGAAAGAGGGTAGTGGATAATCTTACACCGTCACTGCACGGCTAGGATTAAATTGGGTTGTGGATATTCTGACACCACCACAATACGTTTAGGATGTAAAGGGGCAGTGGATATTCTTACAACGTCACTGCATTGCTAGGATGAAATAGGGTTGTGGATATTCTTACACCGTCACTACACGGTGAGGATGAAATAGGGTACCTAGTGGACATTCTTACACCGTCACCACACGGTTAGAATGAAATAGGGTAGTGTGAGTAGTTCTATTCTATTATACTCTACTCTACTATACCCTACTCTACTCTACTCTACTCTACTCTACTCAACTCTACTCTACTCTAATCTACTCATCTTTACTCTACTCCTCTTTACCCTACTCTACCCTATTCTACTCTTTTATATTCTTTTCTATTCCACTTATTGTATACTTACACCAATACAATAAACAAAAACATACATTCAAATTAAGAACCTCTGTTTTTGAGGTCGGCTAAATAAAATAAAGTTAAGTCCCACTGCTTGGCACAGGTCTCCGTTCTTTTTTGAGATTATGAATTAATTAATTATAAATTGGTCTTCAGAATATTTTATTTCTCAGAAATGTAAGGTTTTCCTACTACTATTTAGGGTTCCGTACCCAAAGTGTAACTAACGGGACCCTATTACTAAGCCTCCGCTGTCCGTCCGTCTGTCTGTCAGCGGGCTGTATCTCATGATCCATAACAGGTAGACAGTTGAAATTTTCACACAATGTGTATTTCTGTTGCCGCTATAACAACTAATAATAAAAATAAAAAAAATTAAAGGGTGCTACCCTACTAGGAACGTGTTTACTATGGTACGGAACTCGTCATGCGCGTGTCCGACTCGCACTTGGCCGGCTTTTATTCTTCACCGTCGTGCACGTGGTGAATTAACACTTTCGATTATGGTTAGTGTGAAATTTACCGTGAGTGCTTAGACCCTGAACGACCACGGTACAAAGTAACTTCGTATTAGAAGAGACATCGCGAATAAAATCGATCGACATCAGGGCGCCTGGAAGGAAGCACGGAGTACCTTTTTATGGCATAGACTAAGTAAGTTTGAGTCCGCGGGCTCTAACGCGTATTGCAATATTGCAAACGATCAAGTTAAGGCGTCTCTTCTAGAATGTGGTACAGATTACTTCAATCACAAACAATATGACACTATAAAAAGCAGGTACAATAAGTGAGGAAGTGTAGTAGAGTAAGAAGAGTAAATTTTGAAAACAGAACCAAAGAACTTCCTATCATCATCATCATCAAAAATCTATCAAAAGTCCACTACTGAACATAGATGTCCCCCATAGATTGGTTTAAAGTAAATATATCTTATAATTACCTATTTTATCAACACCACACATTTGAATAAAACCCTTGCATTGTCTTCTGTAATACGTACAGTTTTCAACCGATTAAAATTTTGTGCGCTTTAGCTGCATGGTAATTTACTACCCGTGCGGCTAAAGAATCGGATTGAAAATGGCGTCGCCTCTATTCACCTCTCGCTCGCACACTCTTGCTATAAGTCACACCCGCCGGTATAGACTGCAAAAAATACGTTGCGATATGCTTTTTTTCGTATGTTCTCATCTTTAGTCCAACTTGTCCTTGAAATCAATGATAATAAAATGCCATAAACTAGAAAAAAATCAGTCTGGGTTCGCTACTTTGTGAGCTACGTCGTGTTCTGAGAGCTTTCTTCATAATTATTGTTAATTTTTTTAGTGAATATTTTTGTGTAAAATATTTACATGCCATTGAGTTTTTAAAATTTTCCTTTGTCCGTCTGTCCGAGCTAATCTTCGGCATGGCTTAACAGATTTTAATAAACAAATATAGAGTAATACCAGGAGTGATCAAGTTTAAATTTCATCCAAAAACTTTAAAGATTATAATAAATAGAAATATTGATAAGATAAAATAAATGGTCTTTAATGATTATATTAAATACAAATAACGCCATACTAATAGATCCTACACAGGAGAAGCCAAAGCAGGTCGCTAGTTATAAATGTTACTTTATAATTACTTGAGTATACAACTCTTTTCAAATATTTTTCCACTAATAGAAAATTTCAAACTAAACAAATAATATAACGTTATGACGATATACCGTTATTAGCGCGTTTTCGCTATTGGTACTGGTAACATGCACATGTTGACGTATGGGTTCGATGGGCCGCCATTTCTAACCCCATACTTTATCCGTACGGACTACACCAGTTAAAAAATTATCAAAGAATAATGGTGACAAACGGGCACACAGTCCACCCGACGGTTAGTGGATGCTGTAGCTCATAGACATCTACAATTATCCTCAATCATGAATTAAAATGCAGATGCGTTGTCACCCTTTAGGACCAAAGTGGAATATCGTAGTAGAAAGGGTCTCCGGTTCTCTTCACTAACCATACGACACACTGTATTTCGATACTTAATCGAGGGTAGAATGCTCTTTTATCACCCTTATTGTATGGAGAAAAACAAGTTATAAAGCATATTCTAATCGTACCTTATACGAATCTTACTCCAAACTATAGCTATATTTAACACAGAATTTTTTGTAGCATTTCTTATACAAGATGTAGAGAAAATGCAAAATTTTAGTTTGTTCCAGAATGTGAGCTCTTTAGCAAAGCCGTGGTGCAGCAGGTTGACTTCATCAGCCTCATTCCTGATCCTGATCCCATATCGATATCTGCTGCCGACTGTAACTATACTGGCGTAGAACTTATCGTTGGTGGAGTGAACGCTCGGCAAGGGGAATTCCCTCACATGGTAAGCCAATCTAACGTGTTCTTAATACTGTATAGCGCCCTCTAATAAATGTGGAACAGGTCTGGAGATACTGCTGACTGAATTGAGAAATGAATGAGGTGATCACTACCATGCTGCTTCTAAATTAATTTCTATAAATAATTGTACTGATATATTGTAAAGTTTTCTTTAAAAAATAATCCCGCTGTGTCTAGCTGGTTCTTCCCAGGGCAAAGGTATTTTCCGAACCAGCGGTAAATTAAACATAAGAATCAATGAGTATTATTTATAACCTAGCTGGTTTTACACAATGACACAGCTATATCGTCTGCGGCAACAAAACCCGGAGCGTTTTTACCCCTGAATGCAGAAGAAATAATTGTGGAAATATCGTTTTAATAAAGTTATAATATAATACATTATTCGGTTCTTTTTTAAGAACATATAATAAATTAATTCAAATTGAATGATATTTGACGGCTCCGTGGCGCAGTGGCTATGACTTGCTGCGCTGGGGGCCAAGGATTCGATTCCCGCACGGAACAAGTGTTTGTATGGCCTGCAACAAATTTTTCCGGGTCTGGATGTTTGTCCTTGTGCAATTTGTGTTTGTAAACTGCCTCCACGATCCAGGAAAAAATCCTAGTGTGGGGGTAACGTTTTTTAAGTACAAGAAAAAAATATATAAATTTCGGGACGATGCGCGCGCCACCTGCTTTAAGTTAATTGTACTATGCCTGTAACCTACAGGCGAGTACAAGCAATAAGTAGACAAAGTTTCACCGCAATCTGATGAACGGAGTGACAGCGCATGAAATACGAACAAACTAACAAATATTTATTTTAACAAAGTCCCTATTCTATTGTAGTCTACATTTAAACTTCATAAATACTTTCTTATTGCCAGGCGGCCATAGGCTGGCTAGACTACGATGATAGCTACGCATTCAGCTGCGGTGGCAGCCTCATCAGCGAACGATTCGTGGTTACAGCCGGCCATTGTACCAAGAAGCCCAGGTCTGGGGAGCCGACCATCGTACGTCTCGGCGAACAAAACTTAGATCCCGATGTGAGGGATGGAGCTACACCAATCGATGTAATTAAATATATTTAAATAGTTATATTAAGTTAAGACGTACTAGCTCATGGGCATAGCGCTCGGTGTAAACACATACGCGAGCAACCCGAGTTCGATCCCCGCCGGCACCATCGAAATTGTTAATTGCAATTTTAAGTGCTGATTTACCACGTGCCCGGCGGTGAAAGAAAACATCGAGAGCAAAACTGCATGTCTGAGAAATAAAAATAAATATATTTTTAACACATGTGAAGTCCGCCAACACGCATGTTGACAGCGCGGCGAATACTTCCTTGCCCTAAAACCCTCTCAGAAATGAGAGGAGGCCTGTGCCCAGCTGTGGGATGTCTTTTTTTATAGAATATGGGTGACAAATGAGCACACAGTCCACCTGATGGTAAATGGATGCTGAGGTCCATAGACATCTACATTTATCCTCGATTAAAAATCAAAATGCGGATGCGCTGTCACCCCTAAGGACCAAGATGGAATGCCTCGTTTCCAGTAAGAAGGGTCTCCGGTTCTCTACACTCACCATACGAAACACATCAGCATTAAGCTGCTATTCTACGCTGGTATACTGTGGCTGTTCTATTCCAGTCGAGGCGACCCATTCGTGCTACAACCATAATATAGCTGTAGTTTGGCTCTACCACGTTTATTAAGTTAAGAGTTATAGACCAAAGTTTACATTAGGTTATGTCTTACGGAAACGAAACGTGGTCCTCCACTGCTGCCCACACGAGGAAGCTTAAAGTTACTCAGCGTGCTGTAGGAAGGGTTATCCTAGAAACTTATCTGTGGGATATAATTCCTAAAGAGCGCAGAAGAACAAGAGTCACTCACACATTGTCCAGCGTATCAGCAAGCTGAAGTTGCAATAGGCTAGTCATATGTGGCTGGTTTTTCTAACTATAGTTAGAAGAACCGACAACCGTAGGGAAAGAAAGGTTCTCGAGCGCTGCTGTTCGCCACCGATCTGGGTATTTCAACATCTGGTGTAAACGAGATAGTTCCGCCATTTCTTGAAAGTCTTTAGATTTTTTTGTCATTAGAATTTTCCCATAGTCGCGCTTTTACGACCCTCACGATAACTTTTACTACCCTCACAATAACTTTTACTACCCTCACAATAACTTATACTACCCTCACAATAGCTTTTACTACCCTCACAATAACTTATACTACCCTCACAATAGCTTTTACTACCCTCACAATAACTTATACTACCCTCACAATAGCTTTTACTACCCTCACAATAGCTTTTAATACCCTCACAATAACTTTTACTCCCCGCACAATAACTTTTACTACCCTCACAATAACTTTTACTCCCCGCACAATAACTTTTACTACCCTCACAATAGCTTTTACTACCCTCACAATAGCTTTTACTACCCTCACAATAACTGTCTCGTTGGTCTAATGGTCGTAAGTGCGGCTGTTGATCAAGTGGTGTCGAGTTCGATCCCAAATCAGTTATGGGGTTTTTTTTTGTTAAGACATAATAGTTATGAATGTTAAGAATGTTCAATTAAAAAGTTAATATTAATAAATGCAATCAGTAAGCCCCGAAAAGCACGGAAAACCGGTAGTCCTGATGTCTTAAATCTCGGTCTCGTGTTGAATTGCCGTCTCATGAGATTACGAGAGTGAGATACATTCGTGCACTATAATCCTGTCCTGCGCAGATGGCTGGTCTCCTTTGGGACTGACCGCCGAAACTGAAACTCGGTTGGAGGACATTACCCACATGGTACGAAATCGGTTGACGGTTCTTGATTCTCAACACTTATTATAATTAGGTATAAGAAAGAACCTAAAACTTTCACAGGTACGAATTAGGGCGATCCACAAGCACCCGGACTACAAGCCGCCAAACCGTTACAATGATATCGCTCTCCTGGAGTTAGAGGAAGACGTCAAGTTCAACGATAACATACGACCTGCTTGCTTGTGGACGAAGGAGAACTTCGGAGGGCACAAGAAGGCCTTGGCGACCGGCTGGGGAGTTACTAATCCCGGTAGGAAAAACGTTTTCTATCGATTTAAACTTTATTGTGGTAAAACTGACCGTGTAGATATCGTTCGGTGGTTGTCTCAAGAAGCGACAGAGGGAAACAAACCAAGAGATGAGCAGGAGAGTCTTTCTAATAATGATAAAAAATAAAAAAAAACTGCGGCTTCCAACACGCTAATAATCTTACGCTCACCAGATGTCGCTAGTTGGGACTAAGGTGAATTTATTTTTTATTCAGATGGTTGTAATCATTATTGAAAAAAAGCGATTTAATTATAAGTTCCATTTCTTAGCAATAACTTGTAAAATTAAGTAATATTTTTTTACACAATTCACACAGAATTGTGTTGCCTTGCAAAGAGTGTGGGATATACACACACATATATATATATATATATATATAAAATCTTATGATAGAAAATGTTGACTTAGTATATAATATTTGTACTAATATATGAAGTATATCTGACTAATCTTCATTGATTTTTAAATTTAAACACATTTATTACACACAGTCACGGTAAAAACTATCACACGTAGAAGGGATAAAATTAAGTTATAAAATACTCGTCCCAACTATTATATATGTATTTATCAAATATTCAATATAATCAATATAAAATATATTGATTATATTATATATATTTTATATTGCATGCTGTGTTTACTAGTAAGTAGTCACAACACTTAGATTAAGATACTTTTCTGTTATTTAAGATTGTATTGTGTTAGTTGACTGTTAGTAAACCATACGAATAGAATAAAATAAAATAAAATAAAATAAATATAACTAATATTACAGAAGTAAACTTTAATCAGTAGATTAAAGTAAAAAAAAATTAAGATTATTAAAAAATGCAGTACCATTTTTTCTTACAAATTAACTTTCCCCGCTATGATACTAGTCGCTATGAAATCCGTCAAATATTCCACCTCATTAAAAATGACGCTGCCCTGGTGAAAGAAAAGTCATGGATACCTTCATTCGCGAGCTTGTTTGAACATTTCAGACACTCAACAAACTTCAAAAGAGCTCCAGAAGGTGTCGCTTACTCTGCTTACCAATGAGTACTGTGATCGCATCTTGAGCAGGAACAGGCACTGGCACGGCTTCGCACCCTCGCAGATGTGTGCAGGGGAGTTACGTGGGGGGAAGGATACCTGTCAGGTATAGTTTATTGAAGTGAGATCTTCAATACTTTCTTTAACCGCGTTGAGCGATTTATGGCAGAGGAGACCTTATGGGTTCGCGTCACCGATGACCTCGACATGCTCGTGAAGTTAGTCGAGCAATACAATGTATCGGACAGACAAACAGATAGCCAAAAATTTTAAAATTGATTATTCTTCCCTTATCACTCAGCTCAATATGTAGCAGTTTTTTCATTATAACAGATAGACACTTTAATTTTATTTATATGTATAGATGTACACATAATGACGTAGATCGTTATTTACACATTTAGCTATCTCGTTCCAGGGTGACTCCGGTGCTCCCCTCCAAGTGGTATCACAAGAAAACCAGTGCCTCTTCTACGTTGTCGGTGTTACGTCCTTCGGTGGAAAATGCGCTCAGATTGGCCAACCCGCCATTTACACTAGAATCTCCAGCTATCTAGACTGGATAGAGAGTGTGGTGTGGCCAGGAGAATAGTCCGTTGTTTTCAAACTAGGTTAGGTATCGAATAAACCTCATTTTCAAGGTTTTATCTCGTTACATATGACAGGTACTTTTCTACGTGGTAGGGCCATGTTGCAACTATATTACAGTTGCATTACGAATGGGTCGGCTCGACCGGGGGGACATCACTCTCACAGAAAACCAACCCAAAATAGAAGTTTAATGCTACTGTGTTTCGTTTGGTGAGTGTAGAGAACTAAAGACTCATTTTACCGGTAACGGGGCATTCTATCGATCCCTCAGGGATGAAAATATATCTATCTATACTTAGATTTTTCGAGGATAAATGTAGTTGTCTATGGGCCACAGTATGCTCTTACAATAAGGTGGACTGTGGGCTCGTTTGTCACACTTATACAGTAAAAAGATTTATACTTATTTATTTGTAATTCTCGGTGTTTCCCCCGAGCATGTTGTAGAGAAATTAAACACAATAAAATCCGTAAAATTAGTTTTATTCCTTAAGTAGTATTCGTGTAAATATAACAAATAATTAATAAGTTCAATAATTAGAATAATAATATAATAAATATATTGTTTACAAGTACAGTGGTTTTATTTACCGCCTTTGTTGAGAAAGTGTCTAGTGATCCAGCAATAGAACTAATAAGTAATGAGTGCGTGTAGCCTTTGCCGAAGCTAGACTTTTAGCTACCCCTTCTTCGTTGTAAAAATCTCCAGGTTACGTGTCTATCTACGCGCACTGTGGTTACACACACAGCTTGAAGACCTTACAGTTGTGAAACGCGTTTGATGTCCGGCAATGCCGCCACCCGCGTAGCTATTGACGCGGCCATCGTGTATGCTAGGGTTGTCACGAAATTGCAAATAAAATTATTTTTGATATTATAATAATCATTATTTAATAATAATTAACATTGTATTATATAACATACGTAACATACTTATAAGTTAAATACATTTATTGAACAAGATCATTTTTTTTTATTACAAGAAAAAACACATTTACAAGTGTTGCACTGCGAAATATTTTCGAGAGACGATGTTTTCAGTTTTCTATTGTTAAATTGAATTATATAGTGTATTCGCATTCAGATAACAATTTTATCAAAAAAAAGAAAATAAGGGAAGCATATGCATTGCCGTCATTGGAATTAAGTTTTACTTAGTAACTTTTGTAACTATAACAGTAAGTCACCATTATGTTTTTCGAAAACGGCACTTAAAATTAGTTATATAAGTACTATAAAACACGCTAGCGCCAACCGCATATTTTTTTTTATAGAAGAGAGGGCAAACGAGCGTGTGGCTCACCTGATGGTAAGTGACTACCGCCGTAATGACAACCGCAAAACCAGGGGAATTGCAGATGCGTTGCCGGCCTTTTAAAAAGGAGTAGGCTCTTTTCTTGAATGTCCCTAAGTCGTATCGGTCCGGAGAAACAAAAAAAAATCCCCACCGTTGCGTACATTCGTTTTCCAACTTTAAGATCTTTAAACTGTGCTCTGATCGAGCACTACAGGTCAATGAACTTTGTGTCGCGTAGAGTAGCACATTTCTAGACCACGCCGCCACAGTGTAGGTAAGGTTAAGGCATTAGGTTGCCTCTGAAAATCAGGGCTAGGATGACATACCTTTGCATATCCTGAGTGGCAGTCATATTTGAACCATTTCATATCAAAAATTCTTGAAAGGTTGGCTATTTGCTTTTTTTTATTTATTTTGTACTTAAGTTTAGTTACAAGCAGACCTATATAATGTTATATTAAGCTGCTAGTGTCCACCAAAATTTGTTAAGAAATGGGCCAATAAATAGTTCTTTCTTTTTTCTTTCTAATCACGAGTAGGTAGATGTTTTCTTATGGAGCACTGTGCAGTTTCAATCATCTGTATTGTATTGAATATTTGTAAATACCTATTATTAAGGCAACGGCGGATTATCCTTAACTAGTTTTACGTGGTAGAGCCATGCTGCAGCTATATTAGTAATATAGTTGTAGCACAAATGGGTCAGCTCGACCGGGGAAGGACCACGCTCTCACAGAATACCAGCGTAAAATAGCTGCTTAATGCTGCTGTGTTTCGTATGGTGAGTGTAGGGAACCGGACATCTTTTTTACTGGAAAAGAGGCATTCTATCTTAGTCCTCACGGCTGACAACGCACCTGCATTTTAATCCGCAAACGAAGATAGATGTAGATGTCTATGGGCCACAGCAACTATATACCATCAGGTAGAAATATGTGCTCGTTTGTCACCCAATTTCTATAAAAAAAGAAAAAAGACTAGGCACGTTCCTAGGAGCGCAAGGTTACAAAGGGGCGCACGCGGAAGTTTTTAAATGAAAGAAAAATTACTGTTACTTAACTTTCTATACTCCTCTGACATCCTCCTCACTCTCTTATCACATTTTCCATTCACGCTCACCTGTATTTATTTTGTAACTAAACTATATTATAAACTAAAATATAGTTTATTGCAAAATAAGTAGTTATATTTTATACTATATGGCCACCAGAGCCAATTAGGTGTTAGCCTAGAGCACACGAGTAAAGAAACCGTACCGTACAGACGCAAAGCTTCATACAACCGCGCTATGATAGTAACACTACTACAAACTAGACATGCGTGTATGCGTGAGCACTGGTGGCTCGTCACGTACAGAGAGAAACTGCTTTTAACCGGCTCGGCCAGTGCTCAAATCCAGGTACCCAGGTAGGCCAGGCAAACAGTCATATACCTGCTTATTGAGTGGACTGATACTTTACAACAAAGTTTCATGATGCATCAAACACTTCATGAAAAATGCGTCATGAGCTCTCAGACCATTAGACTGGATTTAGTGCTCGACCGACGCTCAGTACGTACCGTACGCGCTGACGGTACGTCCTGATCGTCGGTCGAGGCCAAGCGTTTAGTGCTTAACTGACGGAAGGTTTGTTAGACGTGTACAATCACGAAGAAAAATTAATCCATTTGTTAACTCTGTAATATGTGCGTACTATTTACGCAAAAGAATACGGCGTAAAAGATGGAGAAGATATTATCATGTGCACCCAATAATTGTAGACCGTTTAATTGAAGGAGAATTTTATTCATTGTATTCGAAATCGCGAGAACACTGTTCATGTGTCAATGTTCATTTTTGTTCGCGATAATGCGTACAAGCGTACGGTCGGTCGCTCTGTCAGCGTCGCACTGAACGCACGCATGTACCGCCCTAGCGAGTCAGTCAACCGACGTACGTCGGACCGACGACCTCGACCGACGGTCCTCGTACGTGCGACGTAGCTGTACGCGCGTAGTACTTCATCAGCGCCACAGATTAGTTAATAGTTTACTAAATCAGCGCTGCACTGTAGCCGTTAATAAGTTTTTATTGATATAGTACGCTCAACTGACGTCAGCGCTCACCGTCGGTCGAGCACTAAATCCAGCCTTAAGGTCGAGTACATGCTCATACACTAATAATATTAATTTCAATACAACATATTTGTGCCATTTGCAGTAGAGACTCATTGTGAATTCCACCTGTCGCTGATCTGGGCATCTTACATGTGGTATTAGATGGCGATACTGCTATCTATCTAATGGACGCCATGAGATCTTCAGGTCTGTAGTGTAGAAAAACATAAACATAACATAAACACTCACGCCTGTCACCCAGAGGGGTAGGCAGAGACTACGGACTTCCATTTGGCGCGATCCTGACACACCTCTCTCGCCTCTTTTACATCCATATATCTACGCATACACGCTCGTCGGTTATGGGTACTCCTAATCTGGCCCATTTTTAATGTATCGCCGATTTGGTCGATAAACCTTCGTCTAGGGCGTCCCTTCCCGACCCTGCCGTTCACTTCCGCAACATAAATTTGCTTTGTCACTCTTTCCTCGTTCATTCTTTCTACATGACCAAACCACCGAAGCATTCCTTTCTTAATCCTTGTCACAACGTCATCTTGCAAACCACACTTTTCTCTTATCACACTATTTCTCACCCTGTCATTCAGATTCAGCCCTAGCATACTCCTTAAGGAACGCATTTCTACAGCATTTATTCTACTCTCATGCTTCTTCTGCCAGACCCAACTTTCACTACCATACATTAAAGTAGGGACTAACACAGCAATATGAATTGCCATACGTGCCTTAGTTGACACATTCTGACTCCTCATAATCGCGTGTAGAGCCCCATTCACTCTATTTCCTGCGTTCACTCGTCGTTCTATATCCTTATCATATCTACCATCCCTGCTAAATAAACATCCCAAATATACAAACTCATCCACTTGCTCAATCAACTCCCCTTCTATTCTTATTTCACATAGAAAATAAAATAAAATTATCCTACCAAATACACTGACGTAACGTAACACTACGTTATCTCCCTATAACTTATAAAATCGCTAATAACCAAAATAAAAACTAACTTCTAAAGGAAGGGCAAAATATAGGCGTCATTTTTTTAGTTCCGTAATCGGGTAACAGTATAGCCTATAAGTTGCCTCGAGTCACTAACAACCCACACACAAAATTTCATGGAAATCCGTCCAGTTTTTGCGTGAGTAGTGAATACACAGATAGACTGATAGGCAGTCAGACGAAAATTCTAAAACCCACTAATTTACATTCAATATCCTTAACTTAGTCTTAGATTTACATTTTTCCAGATAATATTGGAATTACAAACACGACTTTTCTATAGATTTAATGATCTTTCTAGCATCCTCAAAAACCGCCTTTTACGAAATCCACATTTTTTTTTAATAAGATAAGGGTGACAAACTAGCACACAGTCCACCTAATAGTAAATGGTAGCTATGGCCCATAGACATCTACATCTATCCTCGATTACAAATCCAAATGCACATGCGTCGTCACCCATGAGGACTAAGATGGAGTGCCTCGTTTCCAGTAAAAAGGGTCTCCGGTTTTCTACACTCACCATACGTAACACAGCAGCGTTAAGCTGCTATTTTACGCTGGTATTCTGTGAGAGCGTGGTCCTTACCCAGTCGAGCCGACCCATTCGTGCTATAACTATACTACTAATAAATAGCATGGCTCTACCACGAAAAAAAAGGTTGAATATGTAACGTAAATAGGCTGATGGATTTAAGACAAAAAAATCATTAAATATTCCAAATATTCACTCAATCTTTATTTTAATTCTCTACAAACTTAAGTTCAAGAATCTTCGTCTATACGCAGCCGTTTCGTTAATGCTTTTGGTGATCGATTTCGCCAAGTCGACGAGCTGATTGATCTCGATTCCCCTATTAGCGACATGCTCGTATGCGTTGATGTGATCGAGCGGTTTCCATTCCTGGTAGACTCTCTCCAGCGTTGCCGATATATCCAACATTTCGTTAAACTTCTCAGTGGCGTCGCCAACTATGTAACCAATTTCAAAAGTCGTGCTGTTCTCGTAATTCTTCTTGATAAGTTCCGCCCTCTTTATCTTGGCTTCGCTGTCGCTGATTGATTCGTGCATCATGCGGAACAGTTTGAGTTTAATCTCATTCTCTTCGAATTCCCGCACTGGGTTCGGTACATTTCTTCTTCCATCGACCAAAGCT